GCTTGGTACGGAAGGAGGGGAGTGCAGGTGAGGTTTGCCGAAGCCACAGTCACAATGGCAAATATTCAGAGTGAAGTCGCTGAGGGTGGAGAGAGGAGGGGGTACTGCATGAGGTCCGGGAGGTCCGGTTAGAGGGAAATTAGGCTCCTATAAAATGGCCAGAAGGAATCACTGTCGGTCCTTGATTAGAAGAGAAGATGGTGGAGAAAGCGTGCAGGCCATCTCCTGCCCACGTGCACTGGACTGACAGGAGTGTGGAGTGGGTGGCGTTCCACCCCCGGCCTGTAGTCCAGGGTCTGCTGGCCCCTTGCTCCTCTTGGCTCTGAGGCCTCTTCTGACATGCAGTGTGTTGGATTCGGGGTCCAAGAAGAGCCTGCTTTGAAGCATATTACCTGCCCCACTGTGGCCTCATTTCCAAAATGAGGGAGTTGGACGATCTCCGAGGCCTTCAGCTCCAACATTGTACAACCCTATTCTCTCCTGAACATCTTTAGGCCTGTAGAGTGAAGCCAGGAGCGGTGAAACTGGAGCTATTTTAATGAACTAAGTTTCTCGTTTGGAGGAGACAAGCACCTGACACAAAGCGGCCCTCTGCTGCCTGGCCTGGTTCTCACCTACCCAAGCATGCTCCTCCTACCTCGGCCCCTGGGCAGGGCAGCCTCACCTGTCCCGAAGCTTCCTGGTCGTCCTTGGCAGCTGCTGCCACCTGGTGGGCACTGTCCAGGCAGCTAGAACTGGCCTGGACCTAGGGCTAACCCCACCCCAGCACCAAAAATGTGTGCTCTGTAGTCAGACCTATGTCTCTGAAGCCCCATGTGACCCCACGGGCTTGTCCTTGTCAGGCAGCAGGAAGGAAATTCTCCCCATTTTATCGATGAAGAGCCTAAGGGAGGCTGGGTGGAGGGGCAGTGATAAAATGCAATACTCTGCAAAGCTGACCCACATAAGAGGACTCCAGATTTACACCCAGGCCTCTCTGAATATGCCAGGCATGCAGGTGCCTGTGAGCTGAGGCTGGCTGGGTCTGGATGGGTCATGGCATCAAGACCCTATTGGGGGTTTTGTCTCTCTCTCTCTCTGTGGCTCTCTCATGGAAGAAGTAAGCAAAATATTTCTTTAAATTATATTTATGATTATTTTTTAATTTGACTAGAAAGAGACAGAGAAAAAGAGAAAGAGAAAGTGAGAAAGTGAGCCGCCAGATTTGGGCCTCAAACCGCAGTCGGCCATATGGGAGTCCAGCCCCTTAACCACCATGCCACCTGCCAGTCCCAAAGTAGACAAAAATTTTAAAAAGAGCAAATAAAATAATAATAATAATGATAATAAAGAAAAAAAGAGCAAATAAAAACCAGAAAACAAAAAACCTAAGGCCTGGAGAGCTGCTGACCTGAGATCATGCAAATCAGTCACAGCTGCAGGACTAGGACTTGAACCTGTGTCTCCTGACTCTGTGTCCTACTGAACTGAGTCAGCCTCACCTTCTTCTGCCAAAAGTATTCTGGACCCACGAATCCATCCAGGCATTCATTTTCTTAAGTATCTCCAAAGTTTCCTATTACGGCTAATGTTATCCAAACCAGACTCGGTCCACACTCCGTATCTAGCTGTTATGTCCCTAAATCTCCTTTAATCTAGCTTAAGCTGGTCCCCCTGCCCCCACTTTTTATGATACTGGCTTGTTGGCGGACCACCTTCCAGACCCATCCAGAGCTTTCTCGATGCTATTCAGCCTTTTCTTCTTCCCTGACATTTCCTGTAAACTGTGAGCTCTAAAGTCTGGATGGAGTCAAGTGAAACATCTTTTTCTGGATTTATAGTACCATAGATGCTTCTGGGGACCCCGTATCCACCTATGTCTGGGTAGGGACAACCTGATTCTCTCACTGAACAATGGCATTTCCTACAAAAGTAAACCAGTGTGGTGTGACTTTGTCACCGTGCGAGTATCCACCTGTTAAGTATTCATTGTTGATTTTGTTACTTCTAAATTTTTTTTTTAATTCATGAAAAGCATGTGCACATATACATGGAAGAAAGTGACAGAAAGAAAGAGAGCAGCAGCCTACACAGTCTGGTTCCGCCACGGCCTTCCTCCGGTCTTCCGGCTCATTGGATTTGGGGCACTTGTAAAGGTGCCCTGTGTATTTTGGTCTGGCCAATATAGGGATTTGAACTATGGTTGTCCTGTGGGACCCAGCTTCTCTGGAGCAGCAGCAGAGTCATTGTACCATAGAGTCTGCCCCACTGTCGACTTTCAGACCGTGGCCAAGTGACTGACTTCACTGAGGCAGCAGGAGGCTCGTGCTCCCGGTCCCGGCATGTCTTTGGCTGGCAGTCCCCAGAAGAGCTTTCCCCATTAACAAGCTACTGGGTATTGGGAAATGCAGTTTCTACTGGAAAGGAACAGACTTCTTTCCCTTTAGTAAGGAGTAATGATCCCTGGTAAGGAGTCATTCATACCTTGTCTCACGAACTTGTGAATTTTCATCGATTTAAGGTGCTTCACCTGACCTCACCCTTTATTCTTTGCGATGTTCTACAATGTCACCACATTGGTGAGCCACGTCCTCTTGAAGTTAGTTCCTCTGTCCCAAACGCAAAACTCCGCAGAGACCTCATGCAGCAGCCAGGCTGTCCAGACGATGCCATGTCCCGTGTGTGGGTAATAGAGCTCTCTGCCTCACACCTGCGCTGCCTCCTAAGCCCCCAAATGTGGTCTTTCGCCTTCCTTCCCTTGAGGTTCAGCCGCGAGACTGGGATGCCTGAGATCCAGGAACTGAAGCAGGCCTCAGAACTGAGGTCCAGGCTGCGGACTGTGAGTGGGCTAGAGGGCACGGCCTCCTCGGAAGCAGAGCTGGGCGTGGGGTGGTCCAGCCAGGCTGCCTGTCAGAGCCTAGGCTGAGGACCCCGTGGGGGACTGCCTGTCCACCCCGCAGTTGGCTGAGGTCCTCCACAGATGTTCCCAAAACGTCACAGAGACCCAGAGGAACCTGAGCAGCCTGAGCTCCGAGCTGGCGAAGAACCGGGATCAGGTACATGAGGACAGAAGGTCTGTGGGGGTTTCCTTCTTTGAGGGGCGGAGGGGGGCACCCAGCTTGAAAGAGTCAGCTGCTTTGTCTGTGTCTTGGCCTGGGTGCTAGGGCAGAGGAGAGTGAGGAGGGATCCTGGAAAGGGTGGGGGCCTCCCCTGAGCCAGCTGTAAGGAGAAAAGGATCCAAGGTCCTGCCCCCATCTGGGCCTGTGACGATCCCACCAGGAATCTTAGCAAGTGCGGTCATTCTGAATGAGAGATAGTTGGGCCCTTCCTCTGAGTGAGCCCTTTGGATGGACCCTCCCACGTAGAGCCCCTCACTGAACCCTCCGAGTTCTTTAGTACTCCGTTTACAGATGAGGAAGCTTACTCACTGAGTTCAGCTTTCCCGAGTCAAGGCCCGTAAATGACAAGTGACAGGTAGGGCTTCCAGTCAGGTCTGCCTATCTCCGCAGCTGTGTCCTTGGCCTACCCCAGGCAGGGATCCATACCCTTTAAAATGCCGTTCTCAGAACCAGCAGGTGGCGTAATGGTTGCATCTCTGGACTCCCACATAGTCGACCACAGTTCAAGTCCTGGCGGCTTAAAAACTAACACCAGGCACGTATGCGTGCATGCCTAAGATCCCTGGAGGAGAAGGCGGAGAAGGGATTGTGGAGTGGCCATCCCCTCAGGGAGTGATTTCTTGCTTTTTTGTCTCTCTGGCAAGCGCAGGTGTCCTATAGCAAGAAATCTCTCAATCAATCACTCGATAAACAAACAAATAAACACACCCCATTCTCCAACTCAACAAAGGTAAAATTCCCTGCCACCACCCCAGTCTGGTGTGTGTGTGGCCATGGCCTATGACCAAGCAGAGGGTGGTGTCAGTGAGAGTCCCCCCCCATTCTCTTCTGTACCTACAGCAACTGGGTCAGTACAGATCCATAACCCCCTGTCCTCAACTCTAGACTTTTCAAAGCTCTGAAAAGCACAGGGGGTTTGGGTTTTATTTGTAAAACTCTTTGGGGAGCAGAACCCGGCCTATGCTGACATGAGGTCCCTGCGGTCTTCATTCAGCCCACTGCAGGGAAACATTCTTATGGTCATCTGAAGCCGTGAGTGTTTTGGCTGGGGTACTGCCAGGCCCTGCTAGGGGAGTTCCACAATGTCTTCTATAGGCACTGAACTACCTTTCTAGAATCAGAAAACAATTCCGATTTCAGAATATACTTGGCTCCAAGCCTTTCAGATAAGCTTGTGACTCAGAGGTCACATCCCAGCCCGCCTCAACCTCCCTTCAAGTTCTCAGGTGG